ATCCAGGTTAGGGATCTTGGAGGTCTCAAGGGCATTCTTTGAAGATCTCCTGGGGGAGAAGCACCTCGACCAGGCAAGGATGTCGAGCTTTTTGGAGTCTACGCCAGGTCTGGAAAATAACATTCTGCCCACAAGTTTGACGAGCGAGATCACAGTTGAAGAGGTTGTCAAAGCCATAGATAGTCTGGCCATTAAAAAGACGCCTGGGCCAGATGGCTTGACAGCAGAATTCTTTAAGGCTTTTAAGTCCAGCTTGGCACCTCGGCTTGTGGAGGTCTTTAATAGCTGTCTGGATGAGGGTTCACTCCCTCCCTCCATGAGGAAGTTGGCTGTGATCTTGTTGTCAAAAGGTAAGGACCCTTCGATGATTGAGAATTGGCGCCCCATCAGCCTTCTCAATGTCGATAGGAAGATTCTGGCCAAGATCCTTTTCTGGCGCTTGTCGTCAGTGGCAGACGGGTTACTTTCGCAACGTCAGCACTGCTCGGTTCAGGGCAGAAGTACATTCACAGCGGTGTTAGCTGTCCGGGAGGTTCTGGAGCGATGCAGGGCTGATGGCAGTGAGAAGTATTTGCTGGTGCTGGATCAGGCCAAGGCCTTTGATCGGGTAGATCATAAGTACCTCTGGCATCTCCTTGACCGGTATGGCCTGGAAGGGAGGTTTATTGGCTGGTTGAAAACATTGTACAGAGGGGCGGAGAGCTTCATGTTGATCAATGGTTGGGTTGGGCGACCCTTTGAGGTTGGCTCTGGGGTGCACCAGGGGTGTCCGCTGAGTCCCTTGTCCCTTGCCTTTGCCATTGACCCCTTCGTTAGGAGGCTAGATAGCGGGGCTTTGGGTGGGGTGCCGGTGGGTGCTACTGGTGAGCCGCCTTTGAGAGTCGTGGCCTATGCCGATGACGTGTCTGTTTTCATCTCTGGGACTGAAGAGGCGCAGGAGGTGGCCTCGGAGATGGAACAGTATGCGGAAGCATCAGGCTCCAAGATCAATCGTGAGAAAAGTGACGTTTTCTGGATGGGTAGGGAATGTGAGAACTTCTCGCTTCTGGATACCTTCCCAGAGCCCCAGCCAAAGATCAAAGTGTTAGGCATCACATTTGGCCCTGATGATTATGGTAAATCGAATTGGGAATCCAGGTTGTCTGATGCCGAGGGTAAAGTGAGATGCTGGAAGGGGTGGTGGCTCTCCTTAAGGGAAAGGGTCGATCTGATCAAAACCTGCCTGATTCCGGTCTTTTTGTACGTCAGTTACGTTTGTCTCTTGCCAGAGTCTCTCTATACGAGGGTCTACAGCTGTTTCTTCCAGCTATTATGGGGGAACAGGCTGAACCTTGTGAGGCGGGATGTGACTTACCGATCCGGGTGGGAGGGTGGCCTAGGTATGGTCAACCCAGTTGTTTTTTTTCTCTTTGATGTTTATTAAACACAATATTGGTAGTATGCTAAAAGAGAGAGACCGCCTGCATGGGTAGGCCTCTTTCAAGTTTGGTTTAGGTCTTTTCTGAACTGTTGGGAGAGAGGCGGGCCAGTGAGAAGCTTGAGAGTCAAGCATGGTAAGCTCCCGGCTTATGTTGCCCCGTGCTTAAAGATTCTTAGGCGGTGGTGTGTGACGACAGAGGAGGTCAGGTCGCTTCCTGGGAGACTCCTGAGGGAGAGGGTCATGGCCTCTGCTTTTCATGCACCGCTGGCCTTGAAGGATTGCCCAGGCCATATTTTGCAGGAGGGTCTATGATTATTAAATTTGGAGAGGATTCCCTTAAAATTTAGGGACCAGGCCTGGCTTGCGTTTCACGGCAGGCTCTACGTGAGGGGAAATCTGAAGTACCGTCCTTTGGATGACCGTGGTTGTCCAAGGACGGAGTGTGGGGGTGAAGTGGAGAGTATGGACCACTTCTTGCTTCAATGTCCCTTCAATGTAGAGGTGTATAAAGAGGTGGGGAGGGCTCTAGACATCCCCTTCCTGCATTGCATGTCTTATGCAGAGTGGGTGTATGGGGCATTAGAAAGGCTTGCTGGTTTTGATTTAAACACTCTTTTCTTAGTTTGTCTAGTGGTCCGATATTACACGTGGAATGCACGGAGTCAGGTTTCCCTGTGGCACAAGGTCCTGTTCAGGTGGTGGTGTGTGACATTCTTGGTGAGGTTGGGAAAATTTGGGGTCTGGAGAAAGATTGCGGCGAAGGGCCTGGATAGAGGCGTGGAGGAATATCAGGTCTGTAGCTGCCGTCTGTTATTCTCGAGGTGTGATTACTGTCCTGTTTTCCTTTCTTCTTTCACCCCCCTAGATTTTGTGAAGACTTTTTTTGAAGATTGGCTACGTGTCCTGAAGGTCTAGGTTTCTTAGCCTTTGGTGGGAGGGTTATGGTTGAGTACCTTAGTAGGTCATAAGGACCTTGAGTTTGTGAAATAATGTTACATCCCCCTTGTAGGGGATAAAGTGGAGTTTAAGGTTAAGCTATAAAGGCTGTGAATTTTTTTTTGTGTGTGGCATTGTGTCTTTCCTGGTGTGAAGGCTGTAGAGGCCGCCACGCAGGCATAAGGTTCTATAAAAGGTTATAAAAGTTCTTTTCTGATGATATGGTCATAAAGATTGTGTTTCATTTTGGAGAAGTATCCAGTTATGTTTATGTTGATTTACCAGATGTGTGGTTCTCTGTATTTATTTTTTGTACTTTTATATAAAATGTATTCTGGTCGCAAGATCTTTTTTCTAAATAAAATATTTCCAGCTATCCTACAGCTTGAACCCCTGTGTTAATCACTCTTCCACTGTCCACACACCCCCACACCAGACACACCACAAAAGTTAGCCTGCCACCACCCAGCAGTTTATCCGCAGAACGGTCTGCTGAGACATCCCACACACACAGATCTCTGTCTGGTAGATCTGTTACCTTTTACAATCTACATGCAATCTGCCCACACGCAGTGCAATTGCATACAGATTGGCAATGAGCTTGACTTGACCGAGCGTTTAAAGGCACTAAAATACAATCTAATCTAATCTCTCCAATCCAATCTCTCCAATCTAATCTATCTAATCTCTCCGAAGATATGAGCCCGTGCTTAAATACACAGAAGTCACTAATTAATTTTAAGATTTAATATCCCGAAAGTGGGCAGTGCATAAAATATGTACAAAATATAAAAAGTTACAGAAATACAAAAAATACAAGAAGACACACAAATGACTATTCACTATAAAATAAAAGGGAATAAAAAACAGAGATAAAACTTTTACCAAGATCTATCCTGCGACTGTAGCAAGTGAGGGAGAAACAGCAATCCGTTGGTTGATCGAACCAGCTCCATATGAATTACAATGTCCCCATGTCCGGGTCCTCAATTTATGGTGATATAGATGTAGGCGGGACATTAGTCCTTGGCCAGTTGACCCTGGGGGGTGTTCCTGTACCTGCCCACAGGATGTTCTGGGTGCTGACCTGCCCAAGTTCAATCGGACCAAGACCGGCTTGAAACACCAAGTCGGGGATTGGATTTCCGGCACAAGCGCATCAGTCCGATCGCGACAGTACCAAACACTGTTCGACTATCGCAATCCAGCGCCACCTAACCATTTCCTGCATTTTCCTGGCCTTCTACCTAATCCACAAATATGATTTTTATATGTTGGTGTGACCCACAGGGTGCCCCATCAAAAGGAAGTATTTTCATCTCTCTGCAACTAATATTTTAGCTTTTATGAGGGATGAAACATACTTCTTTGATGTATGTATATTCTTTTAGAGCTCATCAATGTCAGATCGGAGACAATCTGTCTACAGCCACTTCCTTCAAACCGGTTTCCCCACAAAGGTGACAAACTGTTATTAGCACTTAGGTGTCACATCCAGAGGAAGTTGGAAGTCTTTTCCGATGTTAATTGATCACCATTTGTCTGAGTACCTCTGACTGAATATTTCTTTAATGACAAGGACTGAAACTACATCTACGATTATATTGTCATATCTTACCTACTCAAATCTGTACATTCATGTCACATGTACGTCACAGTCCCCCTCTGGATAAGCTAGGCAAGAGGCTTGGGTGGTTTTCCTTTTAAGCTCATTCATGGCTTGTTCCTGAGCCTCTCCTATGTCCATAGTACATTTTTCTTTAACAATGTCATTAAAGTTTTACTGATTTCTGCATAGTTATCAATAAACTTATGTGAATAATTAATCATACCCAGAAATGATCTCAGTTTGCTGATGTTGGTAGTTGTTTTAGACTTAATCACAGCCTCCACCTTCTTCTTTTGTGGATCTAGGCCTTCAGAGGTAACCTCATGTCCCAGGAAGTTGACTTTGGGACGGCACCATTGGGCTTTCTCTAATACGATTTTAACACCTGCCTCTTTCAACAGATTAAGCACATATCTAATTTCTTGGATATGCTTTTCAAAAGAAGTACTTTTCAATAAAATATCATCAACATATGTTAAAAATGTCCTCTTTCTGCAGCATCAGGCATAGCCTTATGCAAAAACACAACAAATTCATGGCCTGAGTTTATGTAACCAATAGGCATTCTGGTCCAGGTATATTGCTCTTTACCAAAGGTAAAGGCCAATTTGTATTGGTCTTCAGGTCTTATCTTGACTGTCCTATAACCTTGGGAACAATCCAGCGTAGTAAAGACCTTGTCCTTCTGCATCTGTACCAAGCATTGGTAAATATATGGCATGGGCCAGCCGGATATATATACACGTTTGTTGAGCTGTCTTAACTCAGCACACAAACACCATTGACCATTTAGTTTAAGGATACCTAAAATAGGATTATTATAAGAACTGTGTACCTGTCTTATAATACCTCTCTGGTGCATCATTATCAGTCTGGATCCTGGCTGTGAATGTCTGTAACACCACAATCATAAGAATCTTTGGCAAACATGTCCTAGAATCCCACAGACTTCTTTTAACCATTGGCACTCTAGGTCATTAGAGCATCCATCAGCTAAGGATATTTGCTGCTGGACCATTTCCAGAAATCCCGGTGTCAGAGCCTGGGCCCGATTCTGGGCCGTCTGCGGAGAGTGGCAATGTTTCTTCGTGCTGAGCCACCTGGAATGCCGGACAGCTCCCTTGACAATCATTTGGATGATCCTGCCTTGACCTTGTTTATCATAAACCTTGAACCCCTTGCTCCTCCCATGAACTTCCTGATATAAGCCATGTCTCTGAACTTCCTGTTTGCCAGATTATTGTGCTCTCCAGCAAGTATTTTGCTCCTTGCCTTCTCTGCTGTCATCCATATTTTGTTATTGACCCTTGGCTTGTTCTCGACTGCGCTTCTGCCTAATCCCAACCTGCAACTGCTCATTACCGCCCATGGCTTGTTCTCGACTATGCTTCTGCCTGATCCCAACCTGCAACTGCTCATTACCGACCTTGGCTTGTTTACTGACCATGCTTCCGTTTGATTCTTACCTGCTTAATACGCTACTGGTCCTCCGCTTGCTCACCTCCTGGTGGGGTGATCCTGAGGATCGCAACCTGGTGCTACCACGCAGCAAAATCCATCTCCACCATCAGGAGCTCTGGTGAACACTGGTTAGTACTTAGACTCCACATCTCAGATGAGCCCACTCCTCCGCCACAGTGACCTGCCTGTGTAGCTATCCTGCTGGTTTTGGTTCTGAGCCTTTCCACTGCTATAGCAACTGGTCTTCGAGCCTGAACCCTGATCATGACACCTGGGAAGACTTCAGGTTGACCCATTTCATAGGCTTCCTCAAGCCTGTCAGTGAGGTCATTGTTTGACCTTCTAGCCTTATAAATAAGGTCATGATATACCTCTGCTTCCTGCTCATTAAATGAATGATTAAAAATAAGGAAGGATTTATCCACCTTACAAGTACCTACCTCAGGATCGAAAGGATAAATTGACCTAATGGTGAACAATCCTTCACAAGAATAAAATGTTTGTTCAACTATCTGTTCCTTGGTAAGGTATTGTTCAGTTCAGGTATAAGGCCAATACTTGCATTATGAAACCCAAAGGTGCAATAATTAGATTCTAAAGCCAAACAAATGATAGTGTTCTTGGGCAAAGAGATTTTATTTGGGGTTCCATTATTAATAATTATTTGGATTTTCAATGGTTGAATATTCACCATTGGTGTAGGATTTACCAAAATTCCTGATTGTTGCATTCTATTTGAGAAACATATTAATGCATCAGGATTTTTTAATTTTCGTCCTTTTTGTATCCAATCAGGTAATAGAAAATTATTAGTACCCGGAGAAATAATAACATCACATGGAACTAATTAAGTTAAGTTAACTGCATATGGCAGTATCTGAGATGATTTAAGGCAGTGGTTCTCAACCTTTCTAACGCCGCGACCCCTTAATACAGTTCCTCATGTTGTGGTGACCCCCAACCATAAAATTATTTTTGTTTCTACTTCAGAACTGTAATTTTGCAGTGGGAGGAATAGTGCCCCATCATTGGTATCAGTGGGAGGACTAGCGCCCCATCATTGGTATCAGTGGGAGGAATAGTGTCCCATCGTTGGTATCAGTGGGAGGAATAGTGCCCCATCACTGATGTCAGTGGGAGGAATAGTGTCCCATCGTTGGTATCAGTGGGAGGAATAGTGTCCCGCCATTGGTGTCAGTGGGAGGAATAGTGCCCCATCATTGGTATCAGTGGGAGGAATAGTGCCCCATCATTGGTATCAGTGGGAGGACTAGCGCCCCATCACTGATGTCAGTGGGAGGAATAGTGTCCCATCGTTGGTATCAGTGGGAGGAATAGTGCCCCATCGTTGGTGTCAGTGGGAGGAATAGTGCCCCATCATTGGTATCAGTGGGAGGAATAGTGCCCCATCATTGGTGTCAGTGGGAGGAATAGTGCCCCATCATTGGTGTCAGTGGGGGGAATAGTGTCTTATCATTGGTGTCAGTGGGAGGAATAGTGCCCCATCATTGGTATCAGTGGGAGGAATAGTGTCCCATCATTGGTGTCAGTGGGAGGAATAGTGTCCCATCATTGGTGTCAGTGGGAGGAATAGTGCCCCATCATTGGGGCACTATTCCTCCCACTGACACCAATGATACTTACCTTGCTGACCCCTGCTCCAGCCTGGGCTCGCTCTCTCTCCCTCTCCCATCTACAGCCTGCAGAAGCAAAATTTGCACTTTCCTGTCAGCTGTCTTCCTTCTCTGGCCTCTCTCCTCTTCACTCGGTCCTGCAGCTCCCTCGATCTTCTTCGATCTGCGCGCTCGCCGCTCGGCTCCTCCTCTCCAAGCTCCACCTCCTCGCCGGTGATTGGCCGCCTGTGTGCCTCTCCTGAGCTACAGTTCCGGTGGCCAATCAGCGGCGAGGAGGCGGAGCTGTTGAGTGATCCCGGAGGTGTGGCCAGGTTACAGGGGCAGCATATCATCCCGCCCACAGATCGCGAGACAGAGCAGCGGTGTCTCGGTTCCTAAGACCATCGGAAATATGTTTTCCGATGGTCTTAGGCGACCCCTGGGAAATGGTCGTTCGACCCCCAAAGGGGTCGCGACCCCCAGGTTGAGAACCGCTGATTTAAGGGCTTCATGTTCATCTATAAATTTACATGGATCTCCTTTTAATCTGGTCCACAATGTGGAATTTACCAGATCAGTGTGTATGGCAAAGCGATGTATTATATCGTTGCCAATGTAATTATGATACTATGTCTCATTGATTACCAGAAATAAATGGATGGCCATTTGGCCAAATTGAAATGAATAACATGCATTTAACAATATTATTATGACTTTTGGAGTCATTATCCAGATCATGAATCCAGTTATCCTGAGGGTTAGGATACCTAATTATTTTAGGATTAGCCATTTGTTATAGTTGATCTCTACTTATATAACTATTGGCGTAAATCCAGTTTAGCCTTTTTAGTTCTTCCCAGATCATTAACTTTTAAGGGAAAAAAACACATCGTCATTCACTTTTTCAATCCCTGCTAGGAATTGTGGATGATTACTGAACCCAGTAGAGTCAGTACCTTCTCTATGGAGGTGAATTGTTAAAACGTCCTCTTCCAGGCAGACATCTCTCACTCTTTTCAAGGGATACACATATGGTGTTATCTTCCTGTCCATATAAGGTGCAGGTAGGTGTTGCCTGTGAGAAGGAGACATCTGGCATTTGGCTATTCCAATAGGGTCCGGTCCGGATCTCAATAGGGTCCGGTCTTTCCTCAAATCACATGGCGATCGGACTCAGAATGCTCATAATTATTTGGCACATTTACATATGACTGTATAACCTTATTGATGAAATCATTAACAGGGTTTATTCTCTTAAGGAGATCTATAGCAATAATTAGGCTATCATAGGGCAAATCAACTATCAGTGTGGGATGGAAGATTATTTTATTTCCTACTTTAAAATGTAGCCAAGCTGTACCTAATACTTTCATGGCTGTACTGGATACACTTACAAGTTTATCTATGAAACTATTCAGCTTATACTTTTCTGAAGATAAGTCTTGGATTTGTTGGAAATATTTCTGAGTTAGAATAGTTACTTGGCTACCCATGTCTAATAAAGCCATGATTTTTTGGTAAATTATTATGCAATCCCACTTCAATGTAATACCTTTTGTCAATCTCTTGTAATGGTCAGAGATACCTTGGGTGAGACGTGAAGCTATCTTTTTCACATGCAAGTTCCTTGGACTGCCTACCACGTTTTATGGAGGATTCTGTGGGCTATAAAACAGAAACACACTATGTCCCCCCTTGCCTTTTGGCATAGGACAGGTTAAAATCTTTTCAGGCATACAAACACTTGAGTAATTTGCTCGCTTTTGTTTATTGGTACATTACAGGCATTAGCATTGCTTGATGCTTTATCCTGTTCATTCCTGCTTTCTATTGAAGAGGATATTCTACAGAAGTGGGATTCCTTAAAAAAGGATTCTTGGTATTAGCAGTAAAGAAACAAGTTATCTTCTCCATTTGTTCTGCTAATACACTGAACTGACCCTGCATCTGGTCTATGCGCTCATATAGATTACTTCTATTCTTCTGAAGAACTTTTGCGGTTGGAGTTTTGGAATTAGAAGTCTGGGATCTGACAGAACTTTCTGATTCAGAACCAGATTGGACCTTTTTCTGGTTAGACCTGTAATTCCATTTTCAGTGACAGGGACCTTCTTGAAATCAAATTGGTTTTAGGCTTATTCTGACTGAGAGGTCTGGAGTTTTCAACATCTTCAGCATAACTCCTTTTAAAACTTGATGGGATCCCTTTTAATCTGAGTCTCAGCTATTTTTTCTGTGGGCTTTTTAAATCTACTGCCTTGAGACTCTTCATTATGCTGTAATTTCTGTGATTGTAATTCCGGGGCAAGATAATTTTTATTTTATTTGGCAAAGCATCATAAAACAATTGGACAAATTTGGTAGGGACCAAATTTTGTTTTTATTTCTGATACCACTTCAGAGCATTTATTTATACACATATCTATTAGGGAAGTAAAAAAAAAATGTGTTTTGGCTCAAACATCCATGGGACAAATTCAGTTTTCTGTTTGTCATAATTCAAACTTAGGGTCATCATCACCTCTTCAGAAGTTTCTATGTGATCAATTATAGAAGGCGATCCTACAGTTTCTTTTAAGAATTTTTTTTTTTTTTTAATATTTTTATTGACAGGTTTAACATAGTATATATCATACAAAACATTGAAATTGAGCCGTTAGTTGCCAACAGCGGCTAGCAACATAAAAACATAAAAGAGAAAACATAGAGAAAAAAAAAAAAACAATAGATAAGTGATGTGAACTTCTGTGCCTACTAAACAATATAAATACTGTAAACAAATAGGTGCTGCTGTTGACATCAATTGTGTTCCCACAATATCAACTAAATAAATTAATTAATTGAAGGTGATGTAGCGCTGCTAATGAACATCAATCAGTACTAATAAACAATGCAGGTGGATAAACTGTGCTCATAATCATAATGTGAATAAATGACCAAGAACATAGACCATAAATATAAATTAATGAATAATGTTAATTCAAGATACTAAAGTTCTTTCAATAAATGAGTTAATAAATTTCCAAATATCCCATGATCCAAAATATAAAATTAATGAATAATGTGAAAAAAGATACCAAAGTATCAATAAATTAGTTCATAAGTTCACAAATATCACATAATCTAACACTGTTAGACCCACTGGAGCAGCGAAGCAGGCCGTGGATGGCTACCCGCGTCCCTACCCAAAGAGAGAACCTCAAAATTTAGGCCAATTCACCTGAAGACCAGAAAAAGAAGCTATATAATCTAAATACAGATAAGGCAGACGACAATGAGGCCCCGGAGTCTTCCAGGAAGAGCACCACATTGTCAGCATAAAGGGCAGTTTTTTCTTCCAAGCTCCCCACCTGTACCCCACACTGAGGAAGAGGCCTGCAGAGCCAAGGAAATAGGTTCCATCATCAAAGCAAAAAGCCATGGGGACAGGGGGCAACCTTGTCTGGTGCCACGGCCCGCTGGAAACAACTCAGAAAGTCTGTCGCCAGTTTTTATGGCAGCAACAGGATGATAATAGAGCAAACCTATCCAGAGGAGAAACACCTCCCCAAATCTCATATGTGTCAGGATTGCCCGCATATAACTCCAGTCAACAGAATCAAATGCTTTTTGAAGGTCTAAGAAGACCAACCCGGTTGTCCGGAGTCTCTGGGTGCAATCCAATATGTGTATATACCCTCCCAAGATTAATATCTGTGGCCTTACT